TTTTTTTTTTTTTTTTTTTAATTTCAAACATTTTTAATTATTATCCTAATTATAAATTTATTCTTCTATTATATCTCCTTCTTTAATTTTGTTTTTTTCATTTAATATATTTTCAACATCTCTATTTTTTAACCATAAAAACAAATCATTGTTTTCACTACCATCACTTGAATAATCTTTTACCTCCTCATTTAAATTAGAATTTTCCTCATATTCATTTACATTTTCATATATATCTTTCATACTTGAATAAAACCATTCAAATTTGCTAGTGTAGTTAGTATCTTTTTCTATTTTATTATCGCTATTTATATTTTGATTACATGGAATGTCATTTTTATTATATACATCTTGATTACTTTTATTAACTTTTTCATTATTATTTTCTGTTTTACCTATTAAAACATTAAAATTTTCATTTTTATAATTATTTTTTAATTTATCTTCATATATATTCTCCTCTTTTATATGTTTTTTTGTGACATCACTGTCACTCATGCTCCTATTATTCAACAGTATTTCATTTTTAATTTTTTCATCTTCTATTTCACTTTTGATTTTTTCATATATGTCATTTTTAATTTTTTCATCATCTATTTCACTTTTGATTTTTTCATATATTTCATTTTTAATTTTTTTTTCTTCTATTTCACTTTTGATTTTTTCATATATTTCATTTTTAATTTTTTCATCATCTATTTCACTTTTTATTTTTTCATATATTTCATTTTTAATTTTTTCATCTTCTATTTCACTTTTAATTTTTTCATATATTTCATTTTTAATTTTTTTTTCTTCTTCTATTATATTTTTCTCTTTTTCTTTATTTTTATTTATATTGTCATGTTCCATCTTAGTATTTATATGATTTATTTTTTTAGATTGTTCTTTATTTTTAATAAAATCTTCATTTTCTTTTATGAATTTTTTATTTAATTTATCCATTTCATTATTTAACTTTTTGTTTTCCAATATCTCTTCCATCTCCTTTAATTCTCCATCATAGTTGGTATTATTATCAATTTTTTCATCTTTTTCTAAATGTAAATTATTAACTTTTAATTTTTTATTTAACACGTTTGAACTAACTTTATCATCAAATATTTTTAATAAATCTAATATCTTATCAATCATATATCTTTTATTAGAATTATGTAATTCTTCTATTAAATTAGAAATATAATCTTCATCACTTTCATAACTGTTTTTCATTTCATTAATTAGATTATATAATAATTCTATTTCTTTTGAATTCATGTTTTCAATCCTTTTATTTTGTTCATTAATTTCATTCTTATTCTGACTTGTATTAATAGAACTTTTTTCTAATTCACTTCTAGATATATTATTATATGTTTCAGTTTCTCTTTTTTCTATTTCTTTATTTTCTAAAATATATTCCTTTTTTTCATTCTCATTATTTTTTAAAATATATTCCTTTTCTTCATTCTCATTATTTTTTAAAATGTATTCCTTTTCTTCATTCTCATTATTTTTTAAAATGTATTCCTTTTCTTCATTTTTACTTTTTTCTAAAATAGTTTCTTTTTTTTTTCTTAATTCTTCTTTGCTGTCTTTTGATTTTATACTAATTGTAGATTTTACATTATTCTTTATATAGAGAGAATTATTTCTTTTTTGTATTTTTTCTTCTTGTATTTTTTGAAAATACTCCTTTAACTGCTTAACAGTGCCTTGTCTTTCTGTTTTGAATTTTATATAAGAATATTTTTCATCATTTTTAATTTGTTCTTCATTAGAATTATTATTTTTATGATTGACTTTATTTAATAATTTCCAAGTCTCATTTTTTATCTTGTTCTCATATTCTTCAAAATTTTTTTTACATTTATAAAATTCATCAAAGGATCTGTAGGAAAATTTGTTTTTCTGATTTTCACCAATCTTTATATTATTTTTGCGTTTTTCAATTATTTCCTTTTCTTTCAATATAATTTTTTTTCTCAATTCTATAAAATCTTCATAATATGATATACAAGCTTCAACTGCATTTTCGTTGCTATTTTTATTTTCTTCTGTTTTCCTTAAAAACATTTTTGTTCTTTATATATTCATCATAGAATTTATTTTTGCCTCTACTTTTATTTGTTATTTATTTATGTTTCTTTTTTTTTTTTTTTTTTTTATTTTGTTGTTTTTCTTTTTTTTTTTTTTNATTCATCATAGAATTTATTTTTGCCTCTACTTTTATTTGTTATTTATTTATGTTTCTTTTTTTTTTTTTTTTTTTTTTTTTTTTTTATTTTGTTGTTTTTCTTGATTCTTTTTTTCTTATCTCTTTTTTTTTTTTTTAATATTATTTTAGTGAATATAAAAATTGAATGTAAATTTAAGAAATATTGAAAATAACAAAATATTCAAAAAAATATACTAAAAATATCCAAATGACCTATTATTTTTTATATTCATATCTTTTCTCTTTAACTGTTAAATTTCCTTTGTTTTTTGTAATTAAAATAGAAGTGTATATAATCAAAATTTTTAGTGATAAAAATATTCATAATATTAAAAAAAAAAAAGAATATTTTCATAAATTTACATTGTTAATCTGCATGCAAATACTACAAAAAAAAAAATAAAATAAAATAAAATAAAATAAATAAATAAATAAATAAAAAAATATGTAATTATAAAAACCAAAAATTTTTTTTATCTTCTTAGTTATTCTTTATAACTTTTAATTTTAAAAATTGAATAAATAACTAACATAATAAATGTCTAACAAAATAAATAAGCAAAAATATAATATAAATGGAATTGTACTATTTTAACAAGTTTCAAAAATGTTTTATGAATTTTCTTTTTTTTAAATATCATATTCTTAAATTTTTAATTTTATCTTAAAAAGTTATTGTTTTTTTTGAAAATTTTCTAATAAGTGTTAATAATATTCAATTTATATAGAACAAATTATCTACTTATTTTATAGATATAAAATCTATTATTTTATTTTATTTTATTTTTTTTTTTTTTTTTTGGTTTACTATCAATTATTGTAATTATTGAATCGCTATAAT